ATATTATCTCAATAATACAGAAATAATAGAAAAACCACACTTAATCAATAAATAATGATTAAAGGATTTTACCAGATTTTCGTGAACTGGAACTCTCAAATTTTTATTTTTTTAGTAAGAATAAGACTCGGAGAACGAAAATGGGGTCTCGGGACTTAAAAATAATTTTCTGGATTTTTACCCTTATATAATAATTATTTAAATGAGTTCGACACAAAAAAAAAGCTCTCGGTACACCAATAACATCAATGGGCCGCGCTGGGGAAAAGCCCACAAGGGCAGCCGTTGTACTAGGCCTGGCACGCGCGAATTGGGCCGCTCTGGCGTACCGGGCCGAGGGGCGCTGAAACAATTTGGGCTGAAGGCTGAGAGGGGGCGCGGGCTACTGCGGGTGAAACGGGTTGGATGCGGGCCGCTGGCGAGTTTTTGCGGCCCGCGCTCCGCCAGTACTTCTAGCGGACTGGGCCTCGCAAATGGGCCCAAAATGAGGCGCGCTGGGCCCTTTTCCTGGACTGGACATCACCGGGCTGAGACCGTTGGGCACCTACAGATTAAGTGAAAAAAAACTGCGGACCGAAAGGAAGGAGAAAGAAGAATGGCCTACGGGCTGGTGCACTTGCTCGCAACAGAAAGAAGAATTCGAAAATGAATTTTGACGATGATCGCTCGAGAACCAGGTTCGCAAAAAATAACGAAAGTTTTTGAAAATAAAACCAACATCCTTAGTCCGAAAATTTTATAAAAATCTGGTTTTGGCTCAGAAAACAAAATGACGGAATTTCAAGGCTCGGACAAAATAACCGAAAGATAAAATCAAATGACATGGCTTGGAAAAATAAAACAAAACTCGATTTTCTTACGATTTAACAGAGATAAAACCAGTTACAATGTTTTGAAAATATTTTGAAAAAGGGGTCTTTGATCGAATAACGAAACAACAAAGCGACGACTTTAGGCTCGAAATGAACGAACGTCAAACAACAAAATGAGGCTCTAATTAATACAATGTAATCACAATGACTAAAGGCTTGATTTTTTAAAATCGAGAGCTCCGGATATCCACGTCAATTCACGAATCATATCACAATAAATGAATATACAAACCGATATTAAGATCCGACCAACCAATGGATTTTCGAATCCAACGAACAGAAAACCAACGAATAATCACGAGCACAACAAAATATAACAAGGAGGTTTCCCGATTATCTTCCTTCTAAAATCTACGTGCTCGGTTGGAAATCGGACGAGATGTACAAAACACGGAATTGAAACTTCAAAGCTCGACGGTGCGACGACGAAAAACACTACTTGTTGCTCTAACGGCTGGGACTTCTTGCGACCTGGCCACTGTGCGAACGGGGAGGACTCGCGTCAACTCCGCGACGGCCGGGCTGCTCGGATAAGGATCGCCGGTGGAATGGGGGATGGGGATGCTGCAATCGAACAAAGGCTACTTGCGACGGGCCTGCTGTGACAATTTTCTATTCGAGGATGGACGAGCTGCATGCTGACTACGATGCCGGAAACATATCACTGCTGCTCGACGGTTACAGTCGCCGGAATCTATGGTGGTCAGATCTCAGACGACGATAAATATTTTATATTTTTAAAGCGAGGCAACTTTTAGATGATAAAAGAAGAGGATGACTCCTCCGTTTAATAGGTGTAAGCGAGCGTCGAACGTGAGAAAATCTCAATAAAATCGGAACAAAATTTTTTTGAGTGATTTGGAGGAGATCTCTCGAAAAGTATTTAGTGCCCATTTCGGTCAACTCTCCATCATCTTTCTTTGGCTGAGCGGCATGTATTTCCACGGTGCTCGTTTTTTCAATTATGAAGCGTGGCTAAGTGATCCAACTCACATTGGGCCAAGTGCCCAGGTGGTTTGGCCAATAGTAGGCCAAGAAATATTGAATGGTGATGTGGGCGGGGGTTTCTGAGGAATCCAAATAACCTCTGGTTTTTTTTTCAGATTTGGCGAGCATCTGGAATAACTAGTGAATTACAACTCTGTTGTACCGCAATCGGTGCATTGGTCTTTGCAGCTTTAATGCTTTTTGCTGGTTGGTTTCATTATCATAAAGCAACCCCAAAATTGGCTTGGTTTCAAGATGTAGAATCTATGCTGAATCACCATTTAGCGGGGCTACTAGGACTTGGGTCTCTAGAGGATTTCAATTAATCCTTTCTGGAAAATTAGATGGTCTTCCTGAACAGGCCTTTTATTTGGTAGGTAATATCGATGAAGCTGCCACAAAGGCTATGAACTTAGAAATGGAGAGTTTGTTTCCTGGGCCTTTAGTGAGTTACAGACAGTGAAGAAGAGATCTTAATTTATCCAAATTAATAACTTGGATTTTGGCTAATTTGTAAAATACATATGCTTGTGACACGTCGGATAAGTCATAACAAGTATTAAAGAAAATAACATAGCATTATCTGATTCATGAAGATAGGAAAAAAATCTTTTTCTTATCCTCATAAATAATATTCATAAATCTATGCAAAGGCAGAGGAGAATTACACCGTAATCTTTCTGTAGGAGATGTAATGTAGCGGTGGAGTCATCAGTTCAGGCCCTGCGAGAAAAAAGTTTAGCACAGAAAATATGGAAAGCTATTGCCACAGAAGATCTTCATTTTCGACCATAGTGACTAGGATGGATATCTCGTATTCGAAAACTAGCAGTTCGCCCTGTTAGTCCTCCAGGACCTAAATAACTCAATTTTCTACCATGAACTATTTGTGTCAATGGATTAGCTCAATCTAAAACTTGAGAGAGGGGGTGTAAACCAAAAAAAGATTCATAAGTGGTTGTTAATGGCGTTGGGGTTACCAAATTCTGAGGAGTCGGTATCAATTTATCCTGACTGATTTTTTCAATCTTTTCGACCTTGGTTCCATAGGAGCAAGTCAGAAAGATTGAGAAATAGGACCATCTGGTTGAATTCGTTCTCAATAGCCATGAAATGATCATCTTAGGGTGATCCTTTTGTCGACGGATGCTCCTACTACACTCGTAGTCTCTGAAGGATGAGAACCAACTATGTAGCATCTACATCGAGAATTTAAGTATTGGATACGTCATTAGTCCGATCCTTTGTAGGAACTACCCGTAATAACGAACTTGCAAAATGGACCTGTTTATCATAAAGAGATTCGTCGTTCCTGACCCTGCTTCACCTTAATTGTTATTTGAACAAGTAAAAGTTCTGTCTTGGTCCGAGTGGGGATAGCATTTCTCTTCTGCATGTCCATGAAGTTTTGAAAAATCCAAACATCTCAGAGATAGATAGAGAGGTAGGAATTTCTCGAACGAACCGCACTCCTTCGTATACGTCAGGAGTCCATTGATGAGAAGGGGCTGGGGAAGGCGACCACCGAGTCGATTTTTGAAGACGAAAAAGCATTCTTGGTTCAGTTCTCCACCTCAAGGATAGAAACAAGGATTGATCAAATTCTATTGAGTCTGACTCATCATAGTGAAACGGGCAGGAGAAGGAATCGGTCTGGTGGGGAAGACAAAAAAGGCTGAAAATTTTATTCCAATGGGCCACCAAAAATTCACTCAAATGGGCCTAGATTAAAGTCTACAATTAGGCCAAGAGATATATCACAGTTGGGCTGGGAAATACTACAATTTGGGCTGAAAAAATAAACTCAATAAGTGGGTCTGAATTAAATTATCCGAAAGAAATTGGGTCGAGTATCAACCTCCAAGCGTGTTTGGAAAATGACTCAAAAGTGTACAATGCGATTCTAACGAAGAATCCAAAAAATCAAACTAGCAATTAAATAAATTATTATAAACCAAGCCGTACACCTAAAATAAAATCAATCACATAATTATACAAGAACATTGCAATTAAGTCAACAAGGCAATCACATAAATAAAAACGAGTACGTAATAATTAAAATGCAAGCAAATAAATAACATAATTCAAGCAATGCACTTAAAGTAAAATAAAAGCAAGTAATGCATATAACAAAAAAATAAAAGTAAGCAAAAACATAATAAATAAAAGCAAGCAAAAATATAATAATACTAGAAATCACATAAATCGAAAGGGCACTACAGAAGGCAAGGTGCACATGTCGAGGAATGGCCCTTGGATGGTCTGAGGGAACCCCAACCAGTCGAATCATAGAGCTCCATGCTTAGGGGGTGAGCTAGGCAGGAAAAGTGTTCTACCCGGCGACGTGGAGCTGGACTCATAGTAAGACCGTATGATAAAGAAGACAGATGGATAAAAAGACATTTAACTCTGGAAGAGCGTTGTTCGAGGATTGGACCACGTGTCGCCACAAGATTGGGCTGTTTGACCATCTGACAAGTCTGACACTTGGGGCAGTGCAGACTCGTGCAGACGAGCAGCCGGGGCAGATAGATCAATTCTCCGGACAAGCTTGGAGAATAAGATACTACACCTCTGTATAAAAAGGTGTGGTAGGTTAGGTCTTTCTTCATGGTGGTAGGTTAAGTCTTTCTTCATGACTATTTTTACAACTAAAAATATACTATTCGTCATCTCCTATATACTCCTAACTCATAGACTCTTCACCAAAAAAGCTTCCCACTATTGAGCTTTTATAGATCTTAAAGGTCATTCGCCGATGAGGAAGGCAAATCAAGTCGATTTTAGGTCGAGGGTCTTTTTTGGTACAGGAACCTTCCGGTTTTCGGATCCACAGGGGAACCGACTAATTCGGAATCGAGCCGAGTAGGACCACAAGGGTGGCAAAACTCTCCCTCAAGAGTTTTTAACACTGCTGCATTCACAGGGCTCGAATACGAGACCACTGGTTAAGCTGGAAGAGACCCAAGCCATCTCATCATTATGTACGTGGTGAGGTATTAATATGATTTGATGGTTTGATAGAAAATAAAATAAAATAAAATTTGCTTCCTATACACATACAGTAAACTAACGGACCAGTCTACACTCTACCCACAAACCACCACCCCAATCTCACCCTATTTCCCCGCCGCCGCCGATATGAAACTCACCACCACCTCCCTCCACCACCACCTCCACTACCTCTCCTCCCCCTCCCTCCACAATGCCACCAATTCCTCAGTGCCCTGCTCTGCTCGCGTCTCCAAGGCGCCATTCGCCGTCCGCATGTCCCTCAGGGAGGACGGCCCCTCTGTCGCCGTCGTCGGCGTCACTGGCGCAGTCGGCCAGGAGTTCCTCTCCGTCCTCTCCGACCGCAACTTTCCTTACCGATCCCTCAAGCTGCTCGCCTCCAAACGCTCTGCCGGGAAAAAGGTCACGTACGAAAATCGAGAGTACACCGTGGACGAATTGACGGAGAACAGCTTCAGTGACGTGGATATTGCCCTTTTCAGTGCTGGCGGGAGTATAAGCAAGAAGTTCGGGCCTGTAGCTGTGGACAATGGAGCCATCGTGGTGGATAATAGCTCGGCGTTCAGGATGGACCAAGGCGTTCCTCTCGTGATACCGGAAGTAAATCCTGAGGCCATGGAGGGGATTAATCTCAGGAGTGGGAAAGGGGCTCTCATTGCAAATCCAAACTGCTCGACTATTATTTGCCTCATGGCAGCCACCCCTTTGCACCGTCATGCCAGAGTATGAAGAAATTTTCTTGAGCTGCATTTCTTTATCTGTCTGTGCTTTTCGTATATTTGTGTTGGTTTATATTTGAATGAGGTGCAATGAGAGATGTGTAGGTATATTAGTGTTCGAAAGATGATGTGTGTTTTTTAAGAGACTGCTGTCCAAATCCATGACTGCATCCTGGTAGAGATAGCGTGATTTTTGTATGTGAAGGGTAAGTTCTGGAGGGATGAATTTTATTGATGGTGGTATTGGGTGTACATCAAAGCCCAGAGCTGGATGATTTAGTTACAAAATTAGTGCAATTATATGAGTTTGGTGCATATTTTACAGTATAACAGAGAGGAAGTTGTGGGCTAAAATTGAGAGATTATAATATTTTAAGCAAAATAACAAAGCCAGAAAAAAGATGGAACTGATCTATGAATGATAATTTTTTCTTATATGATCACCACAACCCTCGTTGCTAAAGTGAATAATTGGGGAATTACATTTAGAATGTCTTGTCTAAGATAAAAAGCTTGGACTGTAATCTTCAATTAATTTATACTAAAGTTACAGCTTCATATAGATCTAAAAAAATTTGAATAGTCATGCGTCTTATGGGCATCATTGCTCCAAAAAAGTCGTTACAAGAAAGTGTATATATATTAGTAGATAAGTATATTTCAGTGGAATGTTTTCTCGGGGTTGGTATTCCAACCTTTGAATCTCATGAAATTTGGATTGATCTTTACTTTCCGATTTGGATTGATCTTTACTTCCTGTCACCTGTATTCAGTCTGCTTTTGATAGGCTCAAGTGACCCTATATCGTGGTTAACTTTTAATCAGAGTGGCGAACAATTTCATATTTCAGTATTAAGATCTAGTGACATAGAGTTGCTCATATTAAAAATAGGTTGATGAAAAATCTATGTTAAAGTTTGTTGCCTCTCCACGAATTGTTCAATAAGCTGTAGACACTAGTTCACTTCCTAGTTGTTTGTGATAATTGTGTTTTTGGTTACCCCCAAAAGTTCCCTGGATAGTGTCGATCTAACACGATAATACAGTGTGTTGTGGAGTATCTTGGTCTTAATTTCTGAGTTTGCTAAACTTGCTGTTGCTATGCAGGTATCGCGTATGGTTGTAAGTACATACCAGGCAGCAAGTGGTGCAGGTGCAGCAGCAATGGAAGAACTTGAACTGCAGACTCGTGAGGTGTTTACCAGTCTTTTACAAATGTATTGATATTATCAACCCATTACTTGTCCAAGTAATGACATTTTATTTATCAATAGGTGCTGGAAGGAAAACCACCTACCTGCAACATTTTTAAGCAGCAGGTTTGCCAATGCAATCTTCTTTTCGTTCGTTGCGACTTTTCATTAGAAGACAAAAATGCTATAGTGTCTGATATTTTTCCAAACTGCAGTATGCCTTTAACTTGTTCTCACATAATGCACCTGTCCTTTCGAACGGATACAATGAGGAGGAGATGAAATTAGTAAAGGAGACGAGAAAGATATGGGTAAAATTTAGTTTGTTTTTCCCTGATGTGGTTTTCATATGTTGTCTTAACTCACCGGCTTGATTGGAATACATTTGATTGTTACAATTTACATTTTTACTTTTATAAACTTTTGCTTTGCAGAACAATAATGCTGTTAAGGTAACAGCCACCTGTATAAGAGTACCTGTCATGCGTGCTCATGCCGAGAGTGTCAATCTTCAATTCGAGACACCTTTAGATGAGGTAGGTTGTTCAATTTGAAATCTTTATGATCCTATCGGGTACGCATGTTTTTTTTTTTTAAATAATATTCTTTTATTTGTACTTGGGATAGGAAAGTGAGAAGTTTCAAGTGCAAATATATACACCCTTAATAATTGCCACTATAGAGGAAAAGTAAGAGAACTAGCAATTCATGTCTTGTCCAATTCTACTCTGTCAAATCTTCCTATATCATATACTTGGATATTACTGTCCTTATATTTAATTTTTCCTTTCCATATTTAGTCACTTTCTTTATCTCTTATACTATAATTGTTACCTTTCCATACTTTAAGAGCTATAACATCTCTGGGCCATTGCACCACTCGCTCCACACCGAGTGATTCTCCCACAAAAAACTCTACATGTGATATTTTGAAAACAAAAAGATGTGATCTCCAAAATGAAACCTCCTAACTAATGGGATAGTCAGCCTTAACCTGTGAACGAGTGTAAGATTGTCGTGCCAGTGGCAGTCATTGTCACCCTTACCGACAATTTTAATGCACGTTTAAAAGCCTGTTGACACACAACTATATTTTATTTAACACATATAAAGATATATGCATGATTTTTATTGATTAGTTAATTTATTAGGTTTAAATTAATTTTAACCACTATGATATGATATTATTTTCCTATTTTAAGGTTTGGTTCTCATTTGAACCAAATCCTACATATATAGGTAAAGGAGGAAAAAATGTTGTATGTAACCTGAAATAATCTTCGTTCTTTTTATTTTTCTTTTCCAATTTGAGCTTGAGCATTTTATTTTTAGGCGAAGAATGTGGTATGAATTTGTGCATACTGGTCAGTCGTGTATTATTGATAGTTATGTCAATGAAAGTCGATCTGCGGAGAACATTTCTATATCAGTAATTAATGAACTTAACTCCACATTTGATTAATCATTAGCAGTAATCACATTTACTTGTGAATTTGTTACTGTCCATAAAAGTCACTTCTAGAATCCAACTTAGACTGTAGATTGATTGTTCGAACCTTGCTAGGACACGGCAAGAGAGATTCTTAAAAATGCCCCAGGGGTAGTTGTTATTGATGACCGTGCGGCCAACTACTTCCCTACCCCATTAGAAGTCTCGAATAAAGATGATGTGGCAGTGGGTAGGATACGCCAAGATGTTTCCCAAGAAGGGAATTATGGGTAAGAAAGACTGATCCCCAATTCCTATCTATCTCGTTTTGAAATGAATTGCATCCTTATGACCATTTGATTTGAACAGGTTGGACATTTTTGTTTGTGGCGATCAAATACGCAAAGGCGCTGCTCTTAATGCCGTCCAGATAGCTGAGATGTTGCTCTAGGTTTCTAAGTTTTGATGAATTAATCATATGGTGAGATGCAGATCTCTATTTTGGAAGTAATATTTTTTTTT